AGGGTTTCTTGTGAGAAATCCTCGGCAAGGAGACGGTCTTTGATAAGCTCCTCGACGGGATCGGCGAGGATCGTCACCTGGTCGGGGTCCCCAGCCTCGGAATCTAGGTCTGAGTCACCAAGGATCTCTGCATTGGCATAGGTTGGATCCCTGTGACAAGTCTCACGCCCGTCTGTGCCCTCGTCCTTGTGGTAGATCTCGTTCTCGCTCTCCATCTGATCCGGTGGTGGGTGTCCCTGACAGGGTCCAGCACTTTCGCCATCGCCATTAACCAGTGCCTTGACGGTGCGGTTGTAGTAGATCTCGTCCTCGTCCGTTGCCGCCTTGTCCGAGTGCAATCCACTTCCAAGTTGTTCATAGCTAGGGAGGTAGTAGAGCTCGTCCTCGATAACGCCTTGGTCGTGGTTCTCGGCCTCCTTGTAGTCAAGCTCGTCCACGAACCTCGCAGACCGCCGTCGTCGTGGTCCTGTGGTGCAGCGAGGCGGGTCTCGAGGGCCTGGATCTCCTCCTTCATTTCCTGAGGTGGCTCGATTCCCATCCGGGCGACCCCTTTGTCCATCTCCGTTCTTCGCTTCCCCGAACGTTGGGAACTCGAACTCGCCGGTGTAGTCATCATGGCCTTTGCGGTCGGAACGGGTAGCTGGATGCCCTTGGCGACCTCCTTGGCGTATCCCTTCCCCTTCTTTTCTGCCATAGACTGTACCTCGGCCCATGACAAGTCGCTGCTCCCCGCGCTCGACACGAAGTCCTCGGGATTGATCACCGCATACTTTTCCGGATTGGTCATCTTCTCCAGGATCGTTGGCTCCTTCTCGAAGTCCTTGTCCGTCTGGTTCCTGAACCACATCACGTAGCGCTTCAGGTCCGGGTGCATGTTGGCCCCATTGACCCTCTCCTCCTGGTCGGCCCACCTGCCGTAGGAGATGGGGATCTGCTCGTAGGTGTTGCCCTTGTGCTTGCCGATGGTCATGACCGTCGTCGGGGGCGTCGCGTAGTAGTCCCGGATGTTCCGCATGAGCGCTCCCCTCGTGACCTTCTCGCTGTACGGAAGTCCCACGCGGTCCGCTTCCAGCTTCAAGTCCGCCAACCGCATGGATGACAGCCCCTTCGGTAGTCCATGACCGTCGGCTTCTTGCTTCATCTCGGTGATTGCGCTCCGAAGCTCCACATTGGTCCACCCCGGCAAAGGAGAAAGACCCATCGCCGTCGCCTCGGCCAGCAGCTCGGTCCTCGAGAGTTGCCACGTTGGGCGCTGGGCCATCACACGACGCAATCGGGAAGGAGGAGCTGGGATCACAAAGTTCTCTACGATTGAACACTGTTCGGCCGACCCACAAGCATTGGTGACAGGGCTTCGCAAGATGACGAACTCCTTCCCACATGTCATGAACTGTTGGCAGTCCTCGAAGTGTCTTGCAGCTAACAGCGTGTGTGGCCCTGACGCTACCAAGCACTCGATGGAGATTATCGCGAAGCAGTGACTGGGAGGTTTGCCAATTGTCCGTAGAGAAAAAGGTCTTCCGGGGTATCACGTGAACTCTGATCAATGAGGCCTCGGTCTCTAGCCAAAAGTCGGATGAGATCTTTGTGGTTTGCCACCATCTGATGAAGCCATCTACAGGAAGAACATCACTGCTAAGAAGATTCTTGATTTCGGGAGGGATCTTCTTCTCATAGAAAACCTGTGGGTACGACACATTCACAACTGCATGGGCGCGCTGTACCTACCATGTACGAGCACTGATGCTCGATGATCTGAATCTCTCCTCGGATGCACTTGCTGGCATCCCAAGCCTTTGGCTGTGCACAAACAGGAACGCCATTCGGCCCATGATGTACATTCAGAGCTGGGTGACCACTCGTCGTTGTCTCCAAAGGTAGTTCCTTCACCCCGACTGACCTGAAGTCCGCCACGTGGAGGTCCATGTCGTAAATCATGCCAAGGGACGCCAAAGCGCTGCGACTGATGAGGAGGGGAAGGTCGCCATGCACGACGGCGGCTCGGATCAGCGCCCACTTGTCCCCGAGTTTCACCGGGACAACAACGGCATATGTAGCATGATATACTCGAGAAGCCCCAAAGCGGAAACTGTCCTGCTCCTTTAGCAGTGGCACATCGACACCGCTCTGCTTCATGTACTCGACGAACCTCTGCAGCCACGAAGTTCCCATCACCGATTTAGTGCATGCACAGTCCGTGATGGCCAGGAGCCTGTCTCCGATCGTCTGACTGGTCTCAAAGATCGCGTGGGCGGTCTGCACATTCTCCTTGGGATTCTCGCGCCCCTTGGCCGCGTTGGCAGGACACTGTGGGTCTCTGTGCCAGTGCCCCTTTTGCTTGCAAACACTGCAGTAGGACTTAGATTTTGCTAAAGCAATCTTGTCCTCCGTGGCCTTGCGCAGTGCTTCCTGGTCCAGGCCCCTCGCCTTCAGCACGTCCTTGTACTGCATCTTCGCGGTCATGTACGCCTCGAACACCTCCCCCGCCTCCGTGTCGCCGTTCTCGAAGGGGAACTCGTCCGGGGAGTCGTTCTCCGCGCCATCTTAACGGTGTTGGGCTTCACTCCCTTGTCCCAAAGTCGCCCGCGGTCTCGGTCCCAGGCCTTCTTGAGACTCTTCTCGTGTAGAACTGCAGCACGCTGTAGTTTTGTCGTGACGTACTCGTTGGAAACGCTTCCCAGGATCGACAGCTCCTCGGCCTGAGTGAGGCCCAATGCCTGTAGGTAGGCCCACGCTCGAGCCGTCTCCGGTAGCTTGCAATCTACCTCCAACAGCCTGGCATATGACCTGTCGAAGAGGCCGTTGAACTCGCGGATCGATTGCTGAGGGCCCCGTCGTAGTTTCTTGAAGAAGCCGTTGAGGGCCTCGCCGATCTTGCCTATTTCAACTTCCTGGTAGCGCTCCATGACCCAGCTTTTGAAGTGCTCGATGCCGTTTTCGCAAGCTAGCTCAGACACCTGAAGCTCCTCAGCCTCGATCCAGGCGCGCCCCTGGAGGTTCTGGTAGAGCAGCAAAGCTTGACGATCACGAGGAGTACGAGTGAGCTTCGACCAGGCGTCTATCTGACGGATGTACGATCTCGCACTGCAGCCCAGCTTCTCCCCAACGTCTTCCGCTGCGAAGACAGGAACGGTCACCTTCTCGTTGATACCACCTCGTCGTTCGCCGACGCCGGCACCATCCATGCCACTTAGATTCTCCACTTCCCCACCCGGCACGGCAGGGTCACCATCACCCCACGTTGCACCCGAACTCCTCTTTGTCGTAGAGGTCGAAGTCGTCCGTTGCCATCCCGTAGTCCGCCGTGTAGGTGGGGCGTCTGCGCCCGGGTCCGGGTCTCCGGAGGATCCAGTAGTAGTTGTAGACGGTGTAGGCCAATTTCCGGTGTTCCACCCCGTCCACCATCCGTGGTCATTCCACCTGGTAGCATGTGGGTCTTCGCTGTGATCTTGTTCTCCTGTCGGGGAATCCGGAGTCATAGATGCCCCGATCCACGGCTCATAGCTCCATCTGCGTCGCCACCAATCATCGTCTCGGGTGTTCCAAAGACTGTCTCCGAATCCTCGCCACTTGTGGCGGTCCCAACCGCCATCGTAGTCGTCCCAGTTTTCACCAGCACGGCCATCATCGTCACGAGGAAGCTCACTATGGTCTGCTTGACTCCCATCGGCTGTTGCAGCGGAATCCATTCTCGCTCCAGCTGGAGCCTCCCCAGGATCGCCTCTCCTCCATGCCCGACGTCCTCTCGTGGACGAAGGGCCGTCATTGGCATGAAGATCTTCGCCTTGTCGATGCACACGCTGCGCCGCCTCGGCCCAAGGATCAACAGGAACAGGTTCGACACGTGGGTCACTGCCACCGGCAGCCGACATGAAGAGCCCGCGGGCTCCGCTACCAATCTAAAACACTAAGAAGACGCACCGGCCTTTTCTCGCAAAACAGACACTCGTGAGCCTCGTGGTTCCGCGGAGTTCTGCAATTCACAACCGATCGCACTCTGATGGACTGTTCACAGAGTTCTGCAATTCACAACGGCTGATCGCACTTCGCTGGACACAGAAGCTCCTACAGATTTACAGTTCCTATAAATGGGGGATACTTCCCAAATCAGAATAGTAAATCCTAATACACAACCCCTACATTGATTTTGCTATATGGGTGGTTGTCAAAATTAGGGTCCCTTTTGGGGTCCTTATGATAATACGGCACCTATTATTTAGGGTACCCCAAAAGGGACCCTAATTTTGACAACTACCCATATAGGTACTTTGGACCCTTTGGGATTGGCAAACACCAGACGTGTTACCCAAAGGGTCCAAGTATCGTTATAGTAGGGTTTAGGGCTCAGGGTTTAGGGTCCAAGTATCAGTATGGTAGGCTCGTAGTAGATATGTGGGCCCCCAGATGTACATGTACTATACTATTTGGACCGTGTGGGTTGCCTTCCATGAACCCCACCACACTCACCCACATGCCACATGCAGTCTTTATGGCTCCGGCAGCCCTGCACACAACTTGACCCAAACATGTCCAAACCACCACCGAAGTTCTGGGGCAGTAAGCTTTCGAGCCCTCGAGTCTTAAGGTTGTAGGGCTTCAAACGTCTGCCCAATCGCACGGAACCATACTGCAGTAACGACGCCCTAAAAAGCACTAGATCCGAAACCCTAAACCCTAAACCCTAAGCCCTAAACCCTAAACCCTAAACCCTAAACCTTAAACCTCTAGCCTCAACTCCACAGTTCTCATGAGGTTTAGGGTTTAGAGCTTAGGGCCCTACTAGGCAAGTCTTGGAACCCCCTAACAAAAATCCGCAACCCTAAACCCCAAACCCTAAAACCCAACAAGAGGATCCATGACAAACGTGAAAGCTCTAATCTGAGCGAGCTTTTGCAGGAGAAAGGGGACTACTGCACTTTAAAAAACCCTAACCCTAACCCTAACCCTAAACCCTAAACCCTAAACCCTAAAACCCAACAAGAAGCCCAGCGATGTCCCAGGTGCCCGTTGGGAACAGGGGCTGTGGCTCTTCACGAGATCGCCCCTGCTCTTTGCCTGACCTGAGCCCAGGGCTTTCTTTGGGAATTGCTGGGCTTTGCAGGGTTTAGGGTTTAGGGTTTAGGGTTTAGGGTTTAGTGGGCTTTGAAGGGTTCCTTAAAGGCTTTTAAGAGGATCTATAGGGTTTTTACATCCGTAAAGGCTACTTTTAAGGGATTTGTAGGGGGGTGTAGGGGGTTTTAGGGTTCCTTTGAAGGGTTCCTGAAAGGCTTCTTTCAAGGGATCGATAGGGTGTGGGGTTGGTTTAGGGTTTAGTGTTTAGGTGCTTAGTAATAGTTACAAGTACCGCTTATAGTTCCCCGATGATTCGCTATCCCCAAAAGGCAATCTAATAATGGAGGCTCAGTGATTAATTCAGATGACACCAATTGTTATGGACACTCGTAGCTGTGTAGGTGTACTGTCAGTAAGGTAGCTACAGACGGCTGTAGCGGCTATACTCCAACTGCGCTACGTATACCTGTTCGACACTTAGGTAGCCTCATCGAGCCCTACCCGCCGCAGGTATGCGTACCTGTATATACGGGTGTTTCCATATACTACCCAGCGAACCCCCCGGCACAAGCCCTTCGCATAAGCCGGGTACGAACCCTGCAACCCAAAAACAGCAAACATTTCTATGAAAAACTGTAAGCCCCTTTGAGGGCTCTTTAGATGCATAGTGTGATATACATGCTTATATAACCAATGCAAGTGTCTATTGCCTATTTCTTTATGTGGAGACCTAAAACACACATCTATACACATCTGTCTCAACATATCTACTTCTAACGTATGTTTTTACACATCTATATTTAGATACAAGCATTTTCTGTGCTCATACACCGTAACACCATAGAGTCAGAACATGTACAGCCTATACGCAATCCTGGAATTATGCACGACCCTACCCAGATCCTCCAAGATCCCTGAATTGAGGCAAACTCCTTTTATCTACAGGTTTGGGGTTTAGGGTTTAGGGTTTAGGATCTCTAGTATGATGTATGATGTGTTCCTTAGTCAAGCGATCTTGGAAAAGAAAGGTACCTTCAACCCTAGAGCCTAAAGTCCCAAACCCTGAACCCTTTTCGAGGTCTGAAGCATACGGCATTTTCCTGAAGGGATCTTGGAAGATCTAGGCCTCCTCACATAGGAGCTCTACTCATGGTATATATATATATATATGAAGGCATATTCTTTAACGCATATTCGAAGATCGAGGGACCCATACCCTATATTTAGGGTTTAGGATCGAGGGACCCATAACCCTATATTTAGGGTTTAGGGTTTAGGCGGCGTAGTCCTTCAGCGATGTTCGACGATCTTGGACTCGTTCCCTGAGGGTCCATGTAAGTATATACATTGGCCCCAAAGTACCTATATAGGGACTACTTTCAGGCCAAAGCATATACTATTTGGGTACATGGACCCTAAACCCTAAACCCTAAACCCGAAACCCTAAACCCTTAAAAATCTAAGGCCTCTTGACGTAGACCTTGCGGGCGCCAACGCCTTGGCCTCGGCCTGCGGCCGCGGCGGCTGCTGGCAGCTCACCAGGACCCTAAGGGTCCATGGTTTAGGGTTTAGGGTTTAGGGTATTCATATAGCATATTCATGGGTCCTAAAGTACCTTTTTAGGGACTACATTAAGGCCAATGTATGTACTATATGAGTACATGGACCCTTAGGGGGAGCACTTGAACCCCTATGGGGTGGTTTGGGGCTTACCCATATAGGCCCTAAAGTAGTTCCTCTTTTCGGGGGCTCATAATTTGAATCCCATAAGGTAATCCCCAAAAGGAACTACTATGGGGCCTATGGGTAGGGCTTAGGGATGGATCCTAGAGTTCAAAGCCCTCTTAAAGGGTTCTTTTACGGTTTCCGTTAAGGGCTCTTTGATGGGTTTTCCTGCAATCAGGTGTCAGAACGATTCCTTTCTGAAGGTTTCGCGTTTAGCGAAGCGTGTTATAAGTTTCGTAAGGTTTGCTACAAAGGTTGTAGAAAGTCTCTCATATTACATTAGGGTCTCATAGCTATGGCATGTCCCGGGTGGTTTTAAAGGCTTCATAATTTTACACTTGCTGCTCATTCTGAACAGGGTTTCGAAACTGTTGGGTGTAGAGTTTAGGGTAGGGCTTCAGGATTTGCAGGATGCATTGCGTATAGAATTCGCGTTTGTGTTTTTTGTGAAATGACGACTTCAAAATGAAGTTGGCTGCGAAGCTAGCGAGTCGCCGTGGCTACAAGAAAGGTCAGAAGATGTCGCTCAGCCGGAAGCGTCAGCGGAAAATGAAGCAAGGCACCACCATCAAGGGTGGCAAAGTGACACGTTTCAGTGCCGCCTTGTACAACAAGCTGAAGCAGGCTGACGGCCTCTTGGCCAATGACAACCGGAGACGCGCTAGGATAGGCGGAGTTTATGGCAGGCTTATGGGTATCCAAGCCAGGATTGACGAGTTGCTCCAATATGGCACTGAGAATGACGATGAAGAGATTGAAGCTCTCAAGCGAGAGCAGAACGAGATCGCCAGCCAGTTTGACGGTATTATCGGTTTATCACAGTTTCATGGGTGGCATCATGGTTTCAGAAGGGTTTCAGGATATTAGACAAGTTGTGTGAGGATTCCGACGTACACAAGGGTTTGGTCGAAGTTACAGCGGGGGGCTCACCCTACACCCTAAAACCTAAGCCCCACAAAACCCTAAACCCTAAAACCTGAACCCTAAACCCGAGACCCCAAACC